CCCCGCTCCGCCCCGCCCAGGCCTGCCCGCCACGCCCCTCGGTCCTCCCGGTCCGTCGCTCCGGCCGCCCGGCCGCTCCCCCGCGCCGGAGCCTCGGGAGTTCCGCTCTGGGCGGTACGTAGGCGCCTCTGCGCGCGATTAGGTGGGATTAAGGCTCCCGCCTGCCCCCAGGGGCCACGTGACACTAGGAGACAGCGCCAGAGGCCACCCAACAGGGCACTGGACTAGAACTGGGCCAGATCCCAGACTTCCAAGCCTGGGACACCGCAGCGCCCCACGCCCTCGCGGTCAGCCGGGGCCGCGCGTCCCTGTCCCGCGCGCGCTGGGGGGGTGCAAGGCCAGCTCAGCGCAGTCTGCGGCCGCCGGGACACAGCGAGGAGTCGGCTTCTGCAGACAGGCTGGGTTTGGAACCGCTCGGCCATTCAGCTGTGTCTGGGGACAAGCCACAAAACCTTCGTGCCTGTCTCTTCAGCTGGGTGCGTGCAGTTCCCCATCCGCGGGAACGAGCTCCAAGACCTCGTGGAGGCCTGAAACTGCAAGACCGAGCACCACCGCGAGTGTTCGGCCTGTACACACAGCTGCCTGCCATGAAGTGTAACTAATCAGGCAGGGCTGACAGTAAAATAGAACAGTAACATAGAGTTGTGAACGTGCGGTAATAAACACTTGCGAATGTGTTTCTCCCTCTGAAAATACCTGTTCTGTACTCACTTTATTGTGATGGTGTGAGATAATATGAGACAAAGGGGTGAATGATGTAGGCACTGACTCAGCATTTAAAACTTATGAATTGCTTATTTCTGAAACCTTTTTTTCTTTTTGGTTTTGTAGGGTATTTGCCTTCACCAGAGAGAGAGAAATCAACTCCTGGAGGGGGCAGGCATCCGACCTTTCCCCTCCTGTCTCCTCTCAGGACTTTGGGCACACACACGCGTGTTAGCATGGTCTTCAAGCCAGGTCTTCAACCATGCAATTGGCCATGTGGGATCCAGCCACATTAACCTCCACCTGCTGGCCCTGGAGCTTTGCATTGGGTATTTTATTTTCAGACTGTGGTTGCAAAAACGTGCATATTGGGTACCGCTGCAAATGGTGCGTGGATGGCTGGAGGGCTGCTCTGAGGACTGGAGGAGAAACTGAACACACTTGGCACAGTGCTGGCACACAGCGACCACTGTAAACCACATCCAGGAAAGGGTATGTCTTTGGTGCCATTGAGGGAAGAACTGAAGGGACTAGGAGAGGGTTCCCACATCTGTCCTGTTACAGCAGGGCTTTAGCCATACCCCCACACCCACTCCTGCTGGCCTCCTGCCTGAGTGGCAGCTATTAAGACTTGATTTCTCCTCTTCCCGCTGCCCTTCTTAATAGCTATTATTTTTATTTATTTATTTATTTTTGTTTTTAGCTTGGCTACAGGGCACATGTGCTCCATTGGAGACAGAAAGCTGCCCCTGCGGCAATGGGGAGATGGCCCCGCTGCAATCCCTTCTCTCATTTTTCTCTCCAGATTTTGGCCATGCACACTTAGCATGTTTTTTCCTTAAGCTTAGGGCAGTGAGCTCCCCAGAGACAGAGAGAGGGAATGTGAGAAATCATCCCGGGGAAGATGGCCCTGTCACAATCCCTTCTCATCTCCTCAGGATTTTGGGCACACACATACCCACACTTGATTTTCAAGCCACCAGGTCTGGGACTCAGACTGCACAGTAGGTTGTGTGAGACCCAGTGCCTGAACCTCCATACCACCAGCCAGCCCTATCTATTAAGTTCTTACTATGCACTGGTCATCGCTCTAAATTGTTTCAGTATTGCTATAGGGTGCATGTACTCACTGGAGAGAGGGAGAGTGAGAAATCACCCCAAAGGGGGGATAGCCATACTGAAACCACTTCTCCATTCTCTTAGGGTTTTGGGCACCCACACACACACTGGGCATATTTTTCAAGCTGCTGGGTCTGGGGCTCAAACCACAAAGTCAGCCATGAGGGATCCAGCCATCTTAACCTCCACACCATCTGCTGGTTCCTATTCTAAATTCTTTACTACTGCCATCTTATTTAGTCTTTGTGAGTAGAATTTACTATCCTCACTTTAAGGATGAAGGAATGAGACCCAGAGGGGCGAATCAGTCTCACCTGAACCACTCCACTTCAGAGGGCTCCACTAAGTAGTGAGAGAATAACTCCCAGCAGCCCCCGACGCACACGACCCCACCCACTGCCCATGGTTGACTCTCCCAGGACACTGTACCCTATTACCAAACCTTGGTAAATCCACTGTAGGTGTGGCTAATGACAAAGGCAACGACAGAGGCAGGGATGCCGTGACCTGGAGAGCTGGAGTCCATCTACAGTGGACGGCTACCTCTCCATCCGCTGCTACCAAGGCAGGAAGCAGCCCGACTAGGGTCAGATTTCACCATCTCAAGAAAGCAGATTACTGGACTCCCACATGGCCAACTGTGGTTCGAGTCCCAGACCTGGCGGTTTACTTTCTCACTCCGTCCCCCCCTCACACTCTGTCCCTCTCTGGTCACATTTAAGTAATAAATACATACATAAATAAAATAATTCTTTTTTTTTTTTCTTGAGAGATTTTCACTGTAGGGCGTGTGCGCTCGCCAGACAGACAGAGAGAGACATAGAGACAGAAAGTGAGAAATCACCCCCCAGGAGGGATGGTCACGCCGCAATCCCTTCTCCTCCATTCTCCTCTCGGGATCTTGGGCACGCACGCCCACGTGCCTGGTGTGAGTTTTTTTAAGCCACTGGGTCCGGGACACGAACCGCGGTCAACTATGTGGGAGTCCAGCGACATAACCATTATGCTAACTGCTGGTTCCCAATAAAATAATTAAGAAAAATAAGAAATACATCAGGTGTGTGTGTGGAGGGAGGTCTATGTGTGTGCACCTAAAATCCCGAGTGGAGAACGGAGAAGGGATTGTGGCACGGCCATCCTCCGAGGGTTGATTTCTTGTTTTCTATTTGTTTCTCCAGTGAGCACACACACCCTATAGCAAAAATCTCTCTTAAAAAAACAACAACTAAAAAAAAAACAACTAAAAAACAGGACAAGCAGATGGCATGGTAGTTAAGGCTCAGAACACTCCCACATGGCCAACCACAGTTTGAGTCCTGGGCCTGGTGGCTTGCTTTCTCACCTCCTCCCCCCTACAGTCAAATCAAAATAAATGAATAAATAAGTAAAAATAAATAATTCTTAAAAAATCGGGGTCGGCAGGTGATGTAGTGAAGGGTGCTGGACTCCCACATGGCCAACCGCAATTCAAGTCCTGGACCTGGTGGGGTGCTTTCTCACCGCCCCCCCCCACTCTGTCCATCTCTGGTCAAATTAAAATAAAGTAATAAAAAAAAATCAGGGACCAGCAGATGGCACATCACTGGACTCCCACATAGTTGTCCACGCTTCGAGTCCCAGACCCAGAGCCTTACAACATGTCAGGTGCGTGAGTGCGTGCTCAAAATCCCAAAAGGAGACTGGAGGAGAAGGGTTTGTGGTATGGCCATCCCCACTGAGGGGTGATTTCTTACTTTCTGTCTCTGTCTCTCCAGTGAGCACACCCACCCTCAAAACCTCTCTTAAGAAAACAGAAAAACAAAAAATCAGATTACTTGCTTGCTGAGGGGTCTTAGGCAAACTGGCGGTGGGGAAGGCATGGAGGATGGAGAGGATGGAGCTGACAGTGGAGACCTGTATGGGAATGTGGAGTGCTCTGCCCACCGGAGAACGGACACCCTCTGAAGCACCCTGCAGCCCCGTGTCCCCTGACAGTAGTTACTGTACACTGGCTAAGAAGCCCTTGTTTTTTATTGGGAAACCAATGTAACAAACCTAGATTCCTTGAGAATGAAACCAGTAACTCATTCTTCGTAGGCGCCATGTGCACTTAGTACCAAGGCCTCTGCTTGGCCTGACTCCACACTTACTCAACCCCAGTGTGGACGGCCATGGGAAGGACCTGGAGTCGACCTCAGGGCCATTTCCGCACACCACAAACCCTCTCCCACCTAAACTGACACACATATCCTGGTCAGCAGGCAGGGCCTGGGCCAAAGCGGAGAACAGTAAGGTCCCCAGCGTAGCAGGGAATCGAGCCACCACCCTAACCTGTCCCAATCCCAAATTAGCAAAGGAAGACTGGTTTAGCCCCCCCGTTCCCCCCCACCCTGCCCCAGTAGCCTGGCAGCCCAGATCAGTAACACAGTAATTCTGAGGTGCCAAAGGGCTCCCTCGGCTCTGCCAACCCCGGGTGATTGCTGCAGAGAGCCCGGAGGCCGGAAGAGGAGGCAGGCATTTGTCCCACCACCTGCCCAGTATGGACCAGGCAAGCTGCTGCCCAGTCTGTGCCTGTAGCCCTCCTCCCTCCAGAATCTCTACGGCTGGGAACCAGTCCTGGCAGAGAAATCAGTTCCAAGAGGTCCCTTCTCCCCCAGCTTGGGAGAAGGATGGCCTGCGAGGTCCAGGACGGCTACACCAGCTTCTTGGCTTCAAAGAAGCTCTTGAGGTGCCGCATCTGCCAGACGCCGATGGCCACGAGGATGAGGGTCTGGAGAATGGACCACCACAGCACCCGTTGGTTGGTGCTCTCGCTGGTCTGCCGGAATCGCTCCTCGCGCCACTGTGGAGGAGAGTGGGAGGTGAGCCTAAGCCGGCGGGGAGGGGCACTAGAACTGCCGGGACCCCAGCCTGAGAGGACATGGGGCTGCCGGCTCTGCCCAGGCTCCAGCCTAGTGCAGGCACCTCGCCTGAGGCCGGCCTTCTGTCAGCAGCCAGGAGACCTCAGGCAGCCCGCTCGTCTCTCCTAAGCCGGTCTCCTCACGGTGCCGTCCCCAGTTGGGCCTGCCCCTGGGGCCAGGGCCAGATCTGTCCTGGGTGTGGTCAGTGGAGGGGACTAACTCTCAGCCCTCTACCTGGTCTCTCAAACTGCTCCTTGGAGATCCTGGCACAGGCTGCAAACTGTGGCCTGGGGGCTGGATCGGGCTGTCGCATGGGTTTAGTTTGACTCAAATGTTTTTCGTTTTGTTTCATTTTAGAATTATTTATTTAATTTAAAACCCAGGACAATTTCACATAGAAAAACCTGGAACTGTAGCTCATCTTAAAAAAAAGGAAGATCTGAAAACCCAGGGCCAGCACTCCCAGAGGCCCTTGCCAGCAGCGAGCAGTAGGTGCTCCCACTAAGACGGCCACTATGGCGGGGCATCCGGGTGATGGTCTGCTTTCTGCGGTGAGCTGAGACCCCGGTCCTGGAGCACCTGGAGCCACTGAAACGGCACCCACGGCGGTGGCACCAATCCCCACCCTGCCCTTCTACGTTAACTGTGACACAGGGCGGAGACGGCCTCGCAGGTGTCTACGTCCTTAACTAGAAGTTGAAGGCAGTCACACCCACCCTACCTTTTACACTTGCCGTGTGGCCGAGGTAAGTCCTTGGGGGGTCTCACAATAAACCCGATATGCAGCCCTAGCCCAGCCCATCGCCAGGGCCACTGCCGTGGTGCCGCTCACCCGCTGGTAGTTCTGCTCCTTCTGGATCTGCTCCACTTGCTCCACCAGCTGCCGCACCCGGAGCTGCAGCTCACTCAACTTGTCTTTTGCAGCAATTTCCGCGTAGTCGTTGGCATGTTCTCCCACCTGGATGTCCAGGTGAACTCTCTGGGGACAGACAAGGGAGATACGTCAGGCAGCCGCTCTGTCTTCCTGCCAGAGACTGACTCTCCACCATTTGTTCGCTTAGCCCGCGGACCAAGGCCGCCCCAGCGTCCGACCCTATAGGCTTCTGGGGCACAAAAGCAAGAACACTGAGCCTGGACTGACCTGCCCACCCAGGCCTGCAGCTGGGCCACTGTGCCCTGAGTGTCCACGGGAAATCCAGTGTTCACAGAGGACAAACTCCGACTTACTCATCTTTCTCCCACAGTACCACCAGCGCCCCCTCCTGACCAGGGCAGAGCTGAAACTGCAAGTTTCCAAAAGGCCCACTTACCAGCATGCCTCCAGCAAAAAGGGAGAACTTGGTGGAATTGGAGTGCAGACAGATCTGGTGCTCGCCGGGGGTGTGGGAGGTAAAAGTGAACCTGCCCTCGGAGCCGTACTGCCGGGCAAGGATGAGCTGCGGGGAGGGGAGGAGCGGCAGCTTGTCAGTCAGGACGGGGCTGGAAGGAACCAATGCTGAAGGAGCTGAGTACTGTGAAGTCAAGGGCTTCAGGCATCTTGCAACACCGCCAGATCCCAAACCTCTCAGCAGCAGTTGCCTAATGCCTGTCTGGAACTATCTGGACCCAGGGTGGAGAGTCTGCCATAGTTTGGCAAATGACAACTCTTGGAAGGACTGTCCTTCCTATGCTTTTGGTGTGTGTTTCTTTTTTTTTTTTTGGAGAGGTTTTTGAGCTTGCCAGAAAGATAGAGAGACAGAAAGTGAAAAATCACCCCCCCAGGGAGGATGGCCACATTGCAATCCCTTCTCCTCCATTCTCCTCTCGGGATCCTGGGCATGCACGCACACGTGCCCAATGTGAGTTTAAGCCACCAGGTCCAGGACTCAAACTGCAGTCGACTACATGGGAGTCCAGTGACATAGCCACTATGCCAACTGCTGGTCCCACCCAGGTTTTATTTTAGTAAATCTTTTTTTTTAAAGAATTATTTTATTTTACTTTATTTTTAATTTGACCGGAGAGGGACAGACAGAGAGAGGGAAAGTGAGAACGCAGCAGACGGGTTCAGGAATCAAACCTCAGTTCGTCACGTGGGAGTCCAACACCTTAACCACCACGCCACCTGCTGGCCCCATCCATTTTAGTATTTTAAGATATTTTTTGGGGGACCAGCAGGTGGCGTGGTGATTAAGGCGCTGGACATTCCCACGTGGCAGACCAGGGTTCAAGTCCTGAATCTGGTGGCTTGCTTTCTCACTTCCTCTCTCAGTCTCACCCTTTGTCTCTCTCTGGTCAAACTTAAAAAAAATAATAATAAATGAATGAATAAATAAAATAAATAATTTTTAAAAAGATATGTTTTTTCTTTTTTTGTGAAGAGGTTTTTGCTATAAGGCGCGTGTGCTCACCAGACAGAGAGAGAGAGACATAGAGACAGAAAGCGAGAAATCACCCCCCAGGGGGGATGATCACGCCGCAATCCCTTCTCCATTCTCCTCTCAGGATCTTGGGCACACACGCACACGTGCCTGGCATAAGTTTAAGCCATCGGGGACTACATGGGAGTCCAGCGACATAGCCATTACACTAACTGCTGGTCCCAGTATTTTAAGAGATTTTTACCTTAGGGCCAACGAAAGAAAAAGAGAAAGGGAAGGAAGACACAGATGAGAGGGGAAGTGAGAAAACAGCCCCCAAAAGACGGTCACTCTACAATCCCTTCTCTGGGCTCTACCTGGGACCTTGGGCACTCAGGCAAACCGGCCTTGGAGTGATTTCCAAGCCACAGGGTCTGGGAACAAACTGCGGTGGGCCATGTGGGAGTCCAGGGCCATAATTGCCACCAATCTCTAGCCCCTTGTTTTCCATTTTTAACATCCTTATCTGTTAGGACCAAGCAGTTGGCATAATGGCTATGTCGCTGGACTCCCATGAAGTTGACCACGGTTCGAGTCCAGGAGGAGGAGGAGGAAAATGAGAACAGAGGAGAAGGGATTGCTGCGTGGCCAAGCCCCCTGGGGGGTGATTTTTTTGTCTTTCTGTTCCTCTCTGCCTTTTTGGCACGCGCCCTATAGAAAAAAATTCTCAAAAAAGAAAAAAACAAAAAATCACCTTATATGTCAAAATTGAAAGCTACTCCTTTCGGAGAGTGTCCTGGTGTGTGAAATCCTAAGGTCTCGATGACACTGCTGTAGCGTGGACAGAACCCCTTGGTTTCCACGAGCGCGATGAGTCCACGCTCCCTTCTCAGAAGGTCTCCTTCCCCGACCAGGCAAGGTGGGGCAGGCCGACCCGGGCGGAGGGAGGTGCGGGCGCGGCCGCGGCCGGCGGGGCTGGGGCCAGCTCACCTTGTCCTCCGGGTCCTTCACCTCCACGAACATGCCCAGCCCGGGCGTGGCCGGCTGGTACTCCTCCCGCTGCTTGTCGTACAGCTGCGTCCGGTAGTTCCCTGGAGGGGAGCGGGCGAGCCCGGGTCAGAGCGGGTCCGGCCGGGCTCCTCCCGCCCCGCAGCCCGGCCGCCCGGGGCCTCCCCCGCACCTATGACCATGGTCTTGTCCGGGATCTCCTCGATGAAGCACTTCTTCTCCGTCTCCCCGATGTGGAAGTAGAGCGCGCCCC